CAGGAAAGGCAGAGGGAAGGAAGGAAGGAAGGAAGGAAGGAAGGAAGGAAGGGCGGCTAATCATTGTTTTATTAAATAGATAAATAAAAATAATACAGGTTTTAAATAAATAAACAAAAAATAATACATGGTTGGAAAGGGGCAACTCACCAGGCCCTTGCATGCACTTTTTCCTGAAATGCCCCCCTGGGATCGACAGTCAAGCCCCCACAAGATGGTACAGGAGGGAGGGTCCCCCAACCTACCCTTCTTCTCGGCTTTCTTCTCCTTGGACTTGGGCCGCTCCTTGCGGCGTCTCTCCCGGGAACGGGAGCGAGAGCGCGGCCCCTCCCGCACCTTGTCGCGGTCCCACTCCCTCTCGGCCCGCGTCCGTTCCCGGCGCTCCATCTCCCGCTCCCGTTCAGCCCACTGCTCCCGCACGGCCGCCTCCCGCTCCCTTGCTTCAGTGCGCCGGGACATCTCCCGCTCCCCTCGGGCTGCCGGGCCGAGTCCTGGGAGCGGTAAGGGTTCGTCCGCCTTGGCTTCTGCGGGGCGCTCGGCCAGCAGACCCCGGTGGAAATCCAGCTGCCGAGGAGAAAGGCAAGTCAAATACACACGGCAGTCTAGCTTCGGGAACTGCCACTGCTCAAAAGGTGGGTTTTTTTAATTGAATTGGTGATTATTTAAGAATAGTTGGCCAGATAACTGCAGAGAGATCGCAGGGAGAGGCCCTTCTGACGGTCCCAACAATCAAAGACGTCTTTCTGGTGGGGACACGAGAGGGCCTTTTCCGTGGCAGCCCCACAACTACGGAACACCCTCCCCACAGAGGTCCATTTGGCCCCCCTTACTTTTGAGGCAGTTGAAGTTGGTTTTATTGAGGACTGCACTTGACTAATTTAGTTTTTATTTATCAACAATTCTAATTGGGATTTTAAAATGGTCTTTTATGTGTTTCATAATCGTCATTTTAGACTCTAAGCTGCCTTGAGTTCTGCGAGGCAGAGAGGTGGCGAATGAGTGTTTTAAAACTAATAAAATAAGTACCCCAAGGAAACTCACAAACAAAGTGATGTCATGTTTCAGTCCCTTGGCGGTACCCAGAACTTGGCAGTTACAACTACCCTAAATACTGCTGTTCCCATTCGTCACCATCCTAGCTCCTGAGATCCAGTGTGGAGTAGTGGTTAAGAGTGGCAGACTCTAATCTGGAGAACCGGGTTCGATTCCCCACTCCTCCACATGGAGTCAGCTGGGTGGCCTTGGGTCAGTCACAGCTCTCTCTCAGAGCTCTCTCAGCCCCCCAAAACAAGTCTAGCTCGCCCCCTGCATAACGCTAAGGGCTAGAACTTCTGGCTGCCAGACAATCTTCGGATCTCCTGGCTATTCTATACACAATCCTGTATGATAATTATTAATTATTATCATCATCCCTCATTTTTTAAAAACCCACTTGGCTTTACAAGCCACCCACACATTCCACGCTGAAGAACTCCACAGAAAAATACGCATTAAAGGAGAAATATTTCTGTTCTCGATCTCCCCAGCTGCACAATTCTCCAGGGCCAGCAGCATTTGCCTCCCACACACACCTTCCCGATGCAGTCAGGAGCACAGATGTCCATACCTCATCTTGTTCAGCGAAGTCAGCCGACAAGAACTTGGGGTTCGACTGTGGCCACTTGACCCCGTGGAGGGCGTTGCGCGTTGTGACGGCTTCCTCCACCGTCGAATACTGAGGCGAGAAGGGGAAGCAAAAAGAGGGACACAGTTGGCACCAAAGTTTTACCTCAGCTTCCCATCATGCTTTGGGGCGCGAGGTTGTCATTCACCGACACAGGAAGGCATAGAAATCTTCTCGCAAGGAGACTCGTGGGGATTTCTGCTTCACGCTTTCATCTTACAGGGAGCTGAGTTCTACGCAAAATTTGACCATTTGGCTTCCTGTTAACTGCAGATTCTGTTCAATTCCCCCCCCTTCATGTCTTATCTGCCTTTCTCATAGAGACTCGAGGCAGATTACAGAGTTAAAAATGCAGGTCCCCAGCACCTAAGACAGAGGTCTCTCCAACAATGCTCCCTCTAAGCTGTGGAGTCTTGTGAGCAAAAATTCTACTTGGTGAGCTACTGGCATTAAAGTTGTGAGCGAGCGATTTGGCTGCTGCATCAATTAGTTTGCTCTGGAGCCATCCTTCCTGAGCTGAGACAAAAATGTGTGAGCCAGAGGCTAAAAAACTGTGAGCTAGCTCACACTAACTCAACTTAGAGGGAACACTGCTCTCCAACCTTTCTGAGCCTGCGGGCCCCTGTGGAATACTGACATAGCTTGGTGGGCCCAGCCACAAAATGGCAACCACGGGAGGCAGAACCAGCCACGCAATGGTGGCTGCAACTGTCCTTCGAAGATGCAGTGCAGAGCTTTGTACTGTGGTGGCTGCGGCCAAAGCGATGTTTTTAAAAAGTCTTCAGAGGCAATCAAATCTCCAATGGCCAATCAGAAGACTTTCTGGACAAAAGCCCCACCCACTCTCAAAAGACATAAGCACCCCACGGCCACCACACGTTGGGGGATCTCTGCCCTAAGACCACTTGCGCCTTTCTGGGAGACTGTCCTTCTGGGTCTCCTTCATAAAGCATATGAGGCAGTTCAGGAGGGACAAACTGTTCACTTCTGTTCATCTGCTTGCAGCCACGAGGAGCACACCGGAAACAAGGTTAGCGCCTTCTGGCATGAGGGGCCAGGATGCAAGACGTGACAAGAGAACGCAACGCCTTAAAGCAGATCACGACATGCACCTCTAATGGGGTGGTTTATGTCATCAGACGCCCATGCGACAAATTATACGAAGGCAAAAAGAAAAGTAAACTGAAGGTGTGCATTGGGGAACGTAAACACAGTATACATTAAAAACAGGGGAACCATTAGGGCAACATTTTCTAGAACATAAACATGGGCCAACAGATTGGTTCTTTTGAGTTATATATAGATCTAATAGATAGAAAGGAAGCAGAGTGGATTCTGAAGCTGACAACCTTGGTAAAATGTAAAGGTAAAGCCCTTGCTTGAAAGCCAGTCGAATCCGACTCTAGGGATGCGGTTCTTATCTCCGTTTCCATGCCGAAGAGCCAGCGCTGTCTGAAGACGTTTCCGTGGTCATGTGGCCGGCATGACTAGACGCCGAGGCACACGGAACGCTGGTACCTTCCCACTGAAGTGGTCCCTATTTATCTACTTGCAATTTCTTGCTTTTGAACTGCTAGGCTGGCAGGAGCTGGGGCCAGAGACGGGAGCTCACTCCGTCACACGGCACTCAGGTCTCGAACTGCTGAGCTACCGACCTTCTGGTCTGCAGCTTCAGCATCGTAACCTTGGCACCACATGGGTTAAATGAAAACATTTCCTGGCTGGCTTTGGACTCAGAAAAATGTGGAATGAAAACTATACATTTTTCTTCAAAGCTGGCTCAGTGGCTGTGTTTGTATTCTTGCAGCTCAGTACAGATTTTTGATTTAAAAGGGTTTTGTTCATTCTATGAAATAATTCTTGGAATTAATAGCTTTGGGAGCTCGCTTGTCCATACATGCCAGTAATAATTCATGTGACATCATTCTTAGCAGTGGCTCATGATAACAGAGTACTCTGTATGTGCTCAGAGGGACTATCATTTCAAACATTTTAAATCATGGTTTAATGTGTTTCTAACAAATAATGAAAAGAAATAGTGATCAACTTTTCCCCCCCTCTTTCATTTTTATATAGCTATAGAACCCTGCTGAAGAAGCTGGTGTGAAATGCACAGGGGTATTACTGATATTGGGGGTCAAGGCTTTCTTCCCACTGAGCCACTGTTTTTTCTTCATCCCTTCCTTCAATTGAGAGAAGAGGAGATTGGGTTTATACCCCGCCCTCCACTCGGAGTCTCAGAGCGGCTTGCAAACTCCTTTCCCTTCTCCTCCCCACAACGGACACCCCGTGAGGTCGGTGGGGCTGAGAGAGCTCTGACAGAAAAGCACTTTATGTACTTTTGATATTTATTCGATTTTATCTTGTTTTACTTGGTTCTATGTATTGGCACGTGGTGCCCTTGCTTGTTAGCCGCCCTGAGCCCATTCGTGGGGAGGGCAGGGTAGAAATGTAAATAAAAAAATAAAAATAAAATCTTTCTCAAGAACAGCTCTGACAGACCGATGGCTTGCCCAAGGTCATCCAGCAGCTGCAAGTGGAGGAGTGGGGGAAATCACACCCGGATGCAGACCCAAGCTACTCACCGTGACATAGCAGTGGGATTTGATCTTGTCGATCCAGAAGGCATCCTCTACCAAGGTGCCCGTCCGGCCCAGCAGTTCCTTCAGCTGCCCCAGAGTGAAGGGTCTCACCTGCGTGCCAGATGTTCAAGGGTTAGGGTGGGAGGGGCCCACGGACCCGCATCCCATTCGTTTCCCGAGCGTCACCTACAGGCCCCGAGTACTCACCAAGTTGCAGATGTGGACGATGCTGCTGACCTTACCGCGTGGGGGAGAGGGGACCTGGGCCGTGCGGACAGGGTCGTCGATGGTGATAGAGACGCCCGAGCGCTGCTGGCTGATCGACCGCCTTGTCAGCGTATCGCTCAGTGTGACTGCGGGGTGGGGGGAAGGGAGATAGCGGCTTAGGAAAAAAGGCGACCAAGGGGAGATGTAACAGAGGTTGTGGCAATCATCCTTAAAGGTCCCCGCCTCTCCTCCAGGGCTCTGAACCAATCGTTGTGATTTAGGCCTCTTGCAAATCCAAGTGACTGTCAGCCAATCAGAGCCCAGGGAACGCCACTGGATGGAGTTAGCCTTAAGAAGGGCGAAGAAAACCCATTTTTCTTTTGGATAAGCATTTCGTAACTCTGGAAAGGAGCGTCCGCTTAGCCAGGCTTCATCTGGCTCTTTAGTTAGGGTCTGAGGGTTGAGCTTAGGGGGGGAAAAGCTTATTTTAGTGGTACAAAGACCTCCCTCATGACACTACGAACCCGGGGTCATCCCCTGAAGCCGACGGGTGGGAGATTCCGGACAGGCGAAAGCAAGTACTCCCTCCCCCGCACAGTTAAATGGTAAAGCTCGCTGCCACGGGGATGTGGTGATGGCAACCAACTTGGAAGGCTTTAAAAGGGGAGTGGACAAACGCATGGAGGACGGGGCTACCAATGGCTACTGGCCACGGTGGATACACCCTCTCTCCAGGACCAGAGGCAGGACGGTAGGGAGCAAGGGCGGGAGCATGCCCCGTTGCAGTCATCCAGCTCGGGGGGCTTTCCAGAGGCAGCCGCCCAGCCGCCGTGTGAACAAAACGCTGGACTGGACGGGCCTTTGGTCTCATCCAGCGCGGCCCTTCTTATGGTCTCAACAAAGGAAGGGGTTCAGAAAGGCAGCCGTCTCTTCTGACCCCTTCCAATGTCCGTGCGCCCCTTCCTCACCTTTTTTGACTTCATGTTCTACAGGTGGTGGCAGCACCACCGTCGCCTCCACGGCAACAACGGGAGGGGCCTCTGGCGGCTCCTCCTCGCGGGCCTTCTCCTCCTCTTCCTCCTCCTCTCCTTGGCCATTCTCTTGGCCCTCCGCCGGCACCACCTGTGGAGAAAACGTGAATGAGACACGAGATCTTGGGAAACGAGAGAACGGCCCACCCCCTTCCCATGACACCGCACCCGGCCCTACAGTCACCCGTGCCAACCTGCGTCACGGTGCGGCAGATCTTGAGGGCTTTCTCGTGGGCCGGCTCCTCTGCGTGCCGCTCGGCCTCGTCTTCCGAGATGTGCGAGTCGTCGGCGTGAAGGTCCACCACCACTTCTTGGCCCCCCGGCGGTGGCTTGATCTCAGGGATCAGGCTCTGGAAAAGAGCGGAGCGGCACGCGCCGGGTTAGGACGACGACCAGGCAGGAACGAACCTAGCTCAGCCCGCACTCCCGGTGGCTGCCCCAGTACCTTGAGGGACTCTGTGGTGATGCTGATGGAAGGTTTCTTCTGCGTGGTGGCTGTGCTGGCCCCCCAGCGCCGTTTCCGGCCTCCTGGCTGGCTTCCTTCCACGTCGCTGTTGGTCGCTGGCGTCCCCTTGGCCACTGCCGACGCTGCATCCGAGACAGATGACCCAAAGCTGAGACTCCTCGTTGGGACCCGGGTTCCCCTAGGTTTCCACCCAAGGACCGAGACGCAAGCCCTAGTTCGGTCTCCAAGCTCGAGGCCGAAAATGGGAAGGCCCAGCATCGGATCCCTGCCTGGCTCCCATCGCTAGCATCAGGCGCTGCGATAACAAGCCGTCTGGAACTCACACGCTCTGACCTGGTACCCCTTTCGCCTAAGTCCAGGTGAATGGGTGCTGACTCTGGGGGAGATGCAAACTGCGCATGCTCAAAGGCAAAGGGTTTTGATAGCCAGTGTGGTATCGTGGCTGGAGAACTGGACGAGGATCGGGTCAAGATGGGTTCAATTCCCCGCTCTGCCGTGGAAACCTGCTGGCTGACCCGGGGCCAGTCACATACTTGCTAGCCTACCTGACAAGCAGTGTTCCCTCTAAGCTGAGTTAGTGTGAGCAAGCTCACAGTTTTTCAGCCTCCGGCTCACACATTTTTGTCTTCGCTCAGGGAGGATGGTTCCAGAGCAAACTGATTTATGCAGCAGCCAAACCGCTCGCTCACAACTTTAATGCCAGGAGCTCACAAAGTAGAATTTTTGATCACAAGACCCCAGTTTAGAGGGAGCATTGCTCACAAGGTCATTGTGAGGGAGGAAAACGGAGAAGAACGATGTAGGCTGCTTAACGTCCCCGCTGGGGAGCAATGCACGGTGGGAACAAGGTAAAATAAATATTTTCACATGACCCAGAGCGTGAGCCCAACAATGGCTGTAAGTTCAAGACTTGCTTCAACACCAAGTCAAGTGGTCGATAGATACCGGATTCCTCACAGAGGTGGGTGAAGATCCAGGCCTTCTTTCTAAAAACGGGCCAAAACCAGACCTCGTAGCCAGACACACATGAAAGCCACTTCAGGGCTTTCGTCACAACTATGCTTCCCCCCCTGGATTCACCAGAAAGCGCACCCCCCCACCCAGGTGAAGCTTCCCCCTCCTCAACATGCTCGGAAGGCAGAGAAAGCCGACCCTGTAGGTCACGGAAGGAGCCCCTGGTACTTACAGACAACAGAGATCTTTCTCTTGAAGGCCTTAGGCTGGGATGAACCCTGCAGGCGAGGAGGGAACAGAAAGAGGAAAAAAGGGAAGGAGGGAGAGGGAGAGAGAGAGAGAGAGAGAGAGAGAGAGAGAGAGAGAGAGAGAGAGAAGCCCCGCACAGAGGGGGTAGTCAGGTCAGCATCTGGGGACTGGAAAGTGGCTGCCATTTGGGGGGGGGGGGAGAAGAGGGCATAAATAATGAAGGAGGGGCCCAGATGGGAATACGGGCAAAGGATCCTCTGCTTATTCAAGAATAAAGTGAACGTTGCAGAATTCCCTGGCTTACCCCCCCACATTCGCTATCTGTGCAGATCGAGCCCCTTTGGGTCTTGCCTTTCTTTCTCCAGCCCAGAAAATGTTCCATCGGGCAGATCAAGGGAATACTGAGGCTTCCTCGGATGACTTCCAAGTAAACGTCGTACAAACTGATTTTGAGTGGCTAGTCCTTGTTGAGTACACTACAAGGCTCTGAAGCCAATTTGGTACTCACTGCAGGCTAGGCCCTGTACAGAGACAACACAGTCCATAATCCATGGGGTAAGGAACAGTGCTCCCTCTAAGCTGAGTTAAGGTGAGCTAGCCCACAGCTTTTTAGCCTCTGGCTCACACATTTTTGTCTTCGCTCAGGAAGGATGGCCCCAGAGCAAACTAATAGTCAAAGCGCTCACTCACACCTTTAAGGCCAGGAGCTCTCGAGGTAGAATTTTTGCTCACAAGACTCCACAGCTCAGAGGGAACACTGAAAAGGAGCATGTCCAATTCAAGGTGTTGGTTTTGTCCTTTAAAGTGCTACATGGCTTGGGACTGGGGCACCTGATGGAGGATCTTCTCCTACATGTTCCTGCCTAGAAACTAAGATCACAGGGAGAAGCCCTCGTGACTGTTCCATCAATCAAAAAATCTCATTTGGTGGGCATACAATAGAGGGCTTTTTTGATGGCAGCCCCCTGATTATGGAACAAGCTTTCCAGAGATGTGCACCTGGCCCCTCCCTTGGGATCTTTCCTTGGCAGTTTAGCACCGTGCTTATATACTGGCAATCCTAAGTGAGGATTTTTATGTGCTTTTTTAAAATCATTTTTATTTTAATTTACATTTCAAGCCACCTTGAGTTCCACAAAGTAGAAAGGCAACTAAAAATGTTTTCAATTAAACACATTAATTACTCCTAAAAATAAACAATACCAGTAGTTGTTATATTTTTGATTCAAATAGGTAGGCTCGCGAAGATTAGAAAAGAGAAACAGTCTTCGCAGGCTGTATATGTTGTGAATGCCACAGCTAGAACTGAGTTAACCCAATTTAAGTGTTATTCATGTGAAATCTTGTTGCTGTACTGTACTGAAACAATAAAAATTTAAATTGAGACTTAATTATAACACATTACTACAGTATGTGTACAAAGAATCCTTACGTATCAATGTAATCTATATATGGGATCATCTTCTAGATTGTGTTGCTTTGTACGGTACAGAAAACTGGATGCTCTTCTGACTTCAGAGGACCAGCACTTGAGGAAGCTCAAAAGACACCTTCTGGAATCACATCCTCACAGCGGAGAGCCACATGCAAGGTGGGTGAGAAAACTCAAGTCCGAGCTTTCCATCTTCTTGCCAAATAAAGGGTTGCGGACAACATGACAGATGGCCGAAAGCCCCCACCGACAGACTGCTACAACGCAAAGCCTGGAACACCTTTCTCCAGGTGACCACAGCAGGGAAGCTTTTGCGAACTGGCGGTGGCACAATGTGCCACTTTTGGGTCGTGTCGGTCAACATGGACGAGCAAGCAACTATTTTTTTAAAGCCCCCGTGGATATATTTCCAATGCTAAACAAGCTAGGCCTTGGCCCAGACGGCCCGATCTTGTCAGATCTTGCAAGCTAAGAGGGGTTTGGCCCCAGTTAGTACTTGGACGGGAGATTACCAAGGAAGTCCAAAGTTGTTACACAGAGGCAGGCCGTGGCAAACCACCTCACTTTGTCTCTTGCCTTGAAGACCCTCTGGGGTCACTGTGAGTCAGCTGCGACTTTATTTTATTTAATTTTATTTATACCCCGGCCCTCCCCGCACGCTAGCCCTGTCCTCCACCCCCACCCAAAAGAGCCAGACGCCAGCAGCCTGGTCCAGGCCAAGGCGGGTGCTGCTTTCAAAAGGAAAGTGGGGAAAACATCAAGGGCTAGCAATGAATTTAAGGGTCTCCTTTTCATTTACATATAACCCGTCGGCCAGAACAGCAGCAATTTTAATTTCCAAAGCCCCTGGAAGGGTTCCAGAGCTCACGGATTCAAAGAGTGCTGACTAATGTTTAGGTATTATTCGAAACACGTGTTGACTAATGTTTAGGTTTTATTCGAAACACGTATTCGGAAGGCCCACACGGCGGTGACCCTGATAACCCGGACAGACCCACAAAATTCTGGGATGCACAGAACCACTGAGGGTGACAACACTCCTCTGCAAATGACCAGAGGGGACAGCAACACTGTGCTGGCAGGACTGGCTAGGTTGGAAAAATGAAGTGAACTTGCCGGACGGCAGGATCCAGTTTGGACAGGTTAAGGACACCCTGTTTTTCTACACTCAAAATGCTGCCCTCAATTTCTGCGGCCTTGACTCACAAAGAAAGAGGGACGCTCGTGAAATATTCAAGCGGCCACCTCCTTTGTTTTGCCGACACGCTCTTTCTCCAAAAGAGGAAATGAGGGACGCCGGAAGTGGCTTTGGGGACACTCTAGCAACCTGCAGAAACTCTACGGATTTACCACAGAGTTTCTGCAAAATGCTAGAGTGTCCCATCGCTTCCAGTTTTAACCGGAAGTTATTTAAGTGCCGTCGTGGGGTAGGCCCTGCCCCCAGTTCCTCCCAGGGTTAGTCGGCTGTGGACAGGCACCCCCTAGTCAAGAGGTTTGTGCTACCAGCACGATGCAGGACCAAGCTACGGGGGTGCGGTTCTGTTGGGCTGCTGCTTCAGCCAAACAGAATCCAGTGCTCTTTAATCACTTGCAAAGGTGAAGAAATGTTTTATAAAACACGGAGTAGGGTGTTGAAGTGAGCCTAACTTCCACTCGGCCTGTTTTCTGCCCGGTTCCCTCCCAGTTCACTGCACGTCCACTTTATTCCTGAACAGCAGGTCCCTTCAGAAATGGATGGAGCGGGTGGTCGGGAGGAGAGTCCCACCCCAATGTCAAGACACCCCTCAGTTCAAGCGGGTGGGGGGGGGAGAGCGTGGCCAAACCGGGTTGACACACAAACTAAGCTTAGGTCCCCACGGATTCCCTGCTCCCCCATCATTAAGACCAGAAAGGGGGGGGGGGAACCCTCCATTTAAACTAAAAACAGGACCCACCCACCCCCAGGAGAAGCAGCAACTGATTCTTTTTTTCTTTATTAAATTAAAAGAAACCCAAAAAAAATAAAAATAGGACAAGCGCTCCAGGTACCCTCTCACACCTGGGGCAGGGTCTTCTGTTCAGCCAATTGCACCTCAGTGTGTGCGCAGTATCTAGGCAACGGCTGGTCCAATCGGAACGAGCCCTCCCTGGCCTGAAAGGTGCGTGCTTGGTTGGGTTGGGTGACAAGAGAGGTGGTGGTTGATTGGTGGTAGGTAGGAACCTAGCGCTTGATTGGATGGTGGTCGGAGTCAAAGTGTCCCGGAGGAGAGAGGGCGAGACAGAAGCACCGCCCCCCTATGAGCAAGGCAGGGGGCGGAGGGAGGATCAAAGCATCAGTTCTTGGTGGGCCAAGCCAGGAAGAGAACTGAACAACACTGCAGGAAGAGTCCCGTAAGCAGTGGGACCTTTGCGGGACTTGGTAGAAAACCCCAACAAGCATGATGGGGAACTGAATTCGCAGCGGGGTTAACTGTCCAAACACCAGGTGAAAACAGGATAACTGGCACCAAAAGTCCTTTTCTGGAAGACATCCCAGAGGTGGCAGAAGGAGACGGACATCACTGGAAGCCCTGGACGGTGAGAACTTCCAGTGCGTGGAGAAGCCAAAGGAAACCAAGTCCTCTTAGGCAACACTCTGCAATTCCAAAGATCTCTGTGGAGGTGGAAGTCCTTGCGGCATGGTGGAGAAAGCCCGGAGCTGAGAAGGAACACGGTATAAGATGTGCAAAAACTGGTTAACTTTACACACCCGAGATACCACTGGAGATGTGGATGGAGGAGACCTCCAAAGCCAGAGAAGCCTCCCCAGGTCAAGTCACAGAAGCAGGAAAACCGCCAGTGGGGCAGCCCAGGTATCCAGGAGGTATTAGAGAGGCGGTCCACTTTTGAGATGCTGCAGTTGGCCAAGTAAAGAACATCGACAGATGTGGGAGTCTCCAGAAGTCAGCTGAAACTCCAAAGTGGTGGACCACGTTCTCTGGGCTGCTTCCACGCAAAGGAAGGAACTGAGCAGCACACGGCGGTGGCAGTCTCGCTGGTGGCAGAGAACTCCAGAAGAGCTTGTGGTTACTTTGCGTGGGAGACAGGTTCTACAGGAGTACTTGAAAAGTCTCTGGAGCTTTAGCTTGCGTGGAAGCCCTGAGTGGTGGCAGAAGGCGCAGAAGAGCACCACACGGACAACAGGAGGTCTCAGGCAGCGGCAAAACCTTGGGACCTTCTCGGAACCAATTTCTTTCCTGCAGCAGACTTTGCACCTGGCAAGAGTTCAAGCGGCAGCGCCCCAGTTTTGGGAGCTCATCTAGAAATCAGCTGAAGGCGGGTGCAGTTACAGGCATGAAGTGTGGCTCTGACTTCACGGAAGAACAGGATGATAAAATCAGAAAGACCGATGGAGCCCACGGGACTCTCAGAGTCACATACTCCTTAGCAGAAAGGTGTGTATGTATTGAACCCAGAGGCTTCCACGGTGCAGGCAGCGGAAACGGTCCCAGGAAAGGCCGGCTTTGGGAGGCCAAAAAAGATGGTATCCAAAATCTCTCATCCACCTCCACAGGTGTCGCCTGCCCGAGTACGCTCGCGCTCTCTCTCTCCGGTCCTCTCTCTCTCTGTCTCTCTCTCTCTTTCGTACTCCCGGTGGATTGGAGCCTCTTTAAAACGGGGATCAGAACAAACGAGTCCAGAGGAGAACGTCAACGGGGTTGGGGAAGCTATCTTTAGGATGGGGGGGGAGAAAGCAAGCTCTGGCCCCACCCCTCCCCTTAGCAGCATGAAAAGAGGAGTCCTCTGTGTGTGCGCGTGTCCTTCTGTGTCCCCAAAAGAAGCTTTGCCCCACCCTAGCCACCGGCCTCCTTTCCACTAAGCAGACGGAAGGGGCCAGGCATAGCGGAGGGGCAAGTCAATTGTTGGAAGAGGGTGGGTAAAACGAGCCTTTCAATAAAAGGACGGTCAGCAAACAAATAATATCCAACCCACTCGAAATCAGGGGTCTGTGCTAGCTAATAACTATTTCTATGAGACGTATGTGTGTGTGTGGGGGGTCCCACCTCCATTTGGCATGCCATTTCAGGCAGCGGTTAAATAGCATTGAAATATGTTTGCTGGGGGTGGGGCCATGGTCATCCGAGGGAAAACTCTATGGTTTTCCCTCGGATGGTCATGGCCCCACCCCCAGCGTGCCCGGGTCACTTCCGGGCGACGTGGATGCGGCGCGCGCTCCAGCCGGGAGTCCCCCGCTGTGGCTGAATTCACACTTGGCAACCCTAGTTTATACACCATTGGCTTAAGGCAGGCAACACACATACAGGGTTGTATCCAACAGTTTTCACAGACAACCATAGAGTGGGACTCCCCTTCCCAATACAGCCCCAAATGCCCCCCCATGTTGTTCCAGGAGTAGAAGGGGGGGCAATTTGGGGCTGCAAAGTGGGGGCGGGGAAGAAAGCCGTGTTCTACAAATGCTCTGTTGGATGCAAGCCACAGCGTTAAAATCACTAAACGCTAGGTAAGCCAAAACCCCACACCTTGCACAAATTATGCAGACCAAGCCGATTTACATAATTTATTCTATTTCCCCCACTAATCTACATAATTTATTCTCGGTTTTGCTAGGCAAGGGAAGGGAGAAAGGCTCCACGGAGCACCAAAAATCTTGCTCCCAGCCCACAGAACTCTTACGTAGCCATTTCACTGGCTTTCGAGATCCCAGAAAAACGACGTCTTGTATAGCTTCAAGTGTTTCCACGAGCTGCAAGGGACTAGAAACTTTCTTGGGGGAAAAAAGCAACAACAAAGGAAGTGGAATTGTTTGCCCAGCACCAGACTTTGGGTTTCCGGTGCTCCTACAGACAGAATCCTGCTGCGACTGAAGCCCGGGGTCAAGGTTCCCGTGTGCAAAAGGTGACAAAGGAGAAGAGAGGGGTTTGGTGGGATGCCAAAGAAGAGGACAACCCCGCCCTACAGTTCCAGGGTTCCGCGAAGGAGCAATGGCCAAACCAAGCACCCAGCCCTCACTGCAAAGATTCCTCAGAGAGCCCGCTCCCTCCAAACCAGGCCCTAAATTGCAGGAGCTAACAGAGAGATAGAAAACAGCTCCACCTTTCTACACTGCGGGGGGCGCCCCCCCACCTGCCCTCTATCCCACGCCCCTCTGCACGCTGGGGTCCCCCCTCCGACCCAGACTGCGAGGGGAGCCCTGACACGCTACCTCTTTCTTCTCCTCATCTTCAGGGACCACGTCGGGGCCGCTGGGCTCGGCAGAAGGGTGGTCGTCGGAGCCGGGCTCGGGGGCCTCGCTCTCGGGACGGGGCTCAGACTGCTCCATGGGCACCTCTTGCTTCTCCTCGCTGTGCAGAGAGAGGGAGAGGCGGTCACTTGCGGGCAGGGCTGTCCAAGAGGTGGCCCGGGGCTGTTCCCTGGAGGCGAGGAAGCTGCCAAGTGCTACAGCCCCGGGGGTTCTCAGAAGCCCACCCCCCACCTAGTAACCCCTCCCTGCCCCTTCCTAGGTATCCCACCACCACCCAACCCTCCTGTATGAATGAACACCACCGATGGCCCAAAGCAAAAGTTCTGCGGTACCCTGTTATTAGAAGCCACCCAACCACCACAAGCTTTTGACTTTCCAGAGCCCTCCCAACGTATTTCCCATTTTTGAAACTGATCTGGAATGAATGCACCCCTTCTCCTCTTCCCAAACTAGAGCTCCCCCCCCCCCAAAAAAATTTTCCCAGAAAAAGGGATTTGGCCCACCGGGGGGTGA